ATTAATCACAATATTTAATAAATAAAACACAGAACAGCAGCCCAAATGCTGATCTACAGAATAGTATCTGAATGATGACAATCACTAAAAGTTGTTCAGTTCATTTTCCATGAACCAAATTCACCCTCACAAAAATTTGACAGCCCTGATTTTGTGAATGAGAAGACTAAACTCCCGAAGTCACACCAGATGACAAACACCACTGGGTATAAATCGTAATCACTACCACAGGTCTCAAACTGGGATCCTTGGGCCCAACAGGCCCCAAAATGTGTTTCCATTGTTGGCATCTGCACCAAGTGTTTTACTTTATGTAAATGTGAGATATAATTAACGTACAAACACACGGAATTTTTTTTTTGTATTTTTTGAGACAGAGTCTTGCTCTGTCCCCCAGGCTGGAGTGCAGTGGTGTGATCATAGCTCCCTGCGGCCTCCGACTCCTGACCTCAAGCGATCCTCCCTCCTCAGCCTCCCAGAGTGCTAGGGTTATAGGCATGAGCCACTGTGCCTGGCCAAACACACAGATCTTAAATACCCAGTGCATGAATTTTGACAATCGCATACAGTCAAGTAATCAAAAGCCTAAACGAGATACAGAAGATGTTCCTCTCCCCAGAGAACCAGCCTGCCCTTTGCAGTTCTTTCTTTCACACCCACCTCCAGATCAGCACTTCGGGATTTCTTTCATTTACGAGACAGTGTATGGGTACGTTAGGCACGGCGCTCATCTTTCTCAGACGTAGATCCTAACTTAATTTTTCTCTCATTGTTTAAAGAAACAATGAGAGAAAAACACTAAAATCTCCCACTGGAATTGTGGACTTGTCTATTTCTTCTTGCGTGTCTGATGTATATTCCTTTATACATCTTCTAACAACAGGTGGGTACGCATACTGAACTTTCATATTTTTGGAGAAAAAATACCTTTTATGAACTCTACGTATCTCTACGAATGTTCTTAGATGATGCTGTGTGACGTGGGGATCTGCTTTCCTTTGGAGTGTTTTTGCACCTCCGGGACAGCATGACGTGTCCTTTGGAGGCCAACGTTCCCCCTTACCTGGCACAGAGTCTGACTCACTAAAGGCACCTGGTAATTTTCATCAGACAACAAAGATCCTTCTCAGGCATACCTACATTATAGCTAAGTCACTGTTCACCACACAACATAAATCAGAGTTTTCTGGAAATGTACTGAATGATTCGAAGAATGCTAGGGTGGGAGGAACACCGTCTCCTTCCGTGCGCTCACCCACCACCCGCAGCTTGTCTGCACACTGCACACTAGTTTCCCATGGCCTCCTGATGGGGGTACTCAGCGCTCTCACTCTAACATCCTCACGGGCTCCCCAGTTCCCTCTGCTCATGAGCCCCATGGCCAGGGCCTGCCTGAACTCCAGAAGGCTGCTCCCTGCTTCCCCAGGACTAACTCTGGTCCACACAACCCAGCAAACTTCTTCACTAGCCAGTAGAGCTGCAATGACACCGTCTCCAACAAAGTCTGAGGCCCAGTCTTGGGGAGAGGGCCCCCCTCTGAGTTTGGCTGTCTTTAGGTGCTCTGTCAACGCTAGGATATATGCTGGAGTTCACTTTGTATCTCTGTATTACACTCCTCCTGTTAAATTGAGGTGAGATTTCTTTCTTCTCACCCAAGCCAGTCTTACTCAGAACTGAGAGGGGCAATGTTTTCTGGAGACGAACACAGGAAGATCAGAATTTAGAATTGGTTTGCTCAAACTTCTGGGCTTGAGCATAGAGCTGAGATTCTTACCAATCGAGAAAACATTCAGCAGCATCACAGTAATCTAGCTATTAGCTATGGTTGATTATGATGAAGGGCCTGTTTCAAAAGGGACCAAGAGACTCCTACTTCGGCTGCAGTCTGAACTTGCTGCGGTACAAGCCTCTCGAGGACTTAGTCCAAATGACCCAGCAGAACCAAAGATGCTCAAAGTAGCCATGGTCAGCAGGATGCTGTCGGCAGCCTCTGGCAGGCACCAGCAGGAGACTCGCAGTATAGACCTCTAGTAGTTTGGAGCAAATCTATGTCCTCTTCTGCAGGAAACTCCTGCAGTTGACATTTTGAGAAACTGCTTACCGCTGGGTATATGGTAGAGACTGGACAACTAACCACGGGACAGCAACAGACTAAGTAGCCTGCACTTCCCATCATGAACTGGATGTTGTCTGGCCCTTCTAGCCCTAAGTTTGGACATAGGCAGCTGTAACTGGCCATCGCTGGAGCTCACCTAAGACGCTGAGCTCAGGCAGTTCTGGTGAGGACAAGCAAACTGCGTGAGCAGGCGGCAAAGACCCAACACCGACTTCAGCTGCACCGCCTCCTCTCCCCCAATCCATGCCCACGGCTCCCTTCCACCCGCCAGACTAAGACAAAACCTGGTTTACAGATGGGCCTGCATGATACGCTAGTACCACCTGGAAGTGGCAAGCCGAAGCCCTGCAGCCCTGCGGAACACTGACCCTGAAGGACAGAACTAACGAAAAATCCTCCCAGAGGCAGAACTTCAAGTAGTGCGTTTGGCTGTCCCCAGGTGGGGAATGAGAGTTGGCCAGAGATGCCCACACATTTATAGACGTTGCCCATGGTTTGGCTGGATGGTCAAGGAAGTGGGAGGAACGAGACTGGTGACAAGAAGTCTGGGGAAAGTTACACGGATAGACCTCTCCGAAAGGACAGACTGTGCCCATGCAAATGCCCACCAAAGGGGACCCACTCGAAATAAGGTGGGCAAAAATTATGCACTTTGAAGATGTCAGTTACTTTCCCCACCACCTCAGCGATTGCTCAATGGACCCATGAACAAAAGGTCCATGGTAGCGGGGACAAAGGCTACGCGTGGGTTCAGCAATATGAACTTCCCCTTGCCAAGGCTGACCCAGCTAACACTGCTGCTGTACCTAACCTCGTGAAAGCAGAAGTCAACCCCTGAGTACCCAATATGGCACCATTCCTTAGAGGGGACCAGCCAGCCACCTGGTCCTCTTCTATCATGAGAGGTGACAATGATTCATTCTCACTGGCATGGACTACTGCCATGGATGCAGACTGGTCTTTCTACTAGTTCTGTTTCTGCTGGCAACACCACCCATAAACTCACAAAAGGCTGTATCAGTAGTCATGGCCTTCACACAACACTGTGTCTAAACCAACTGGTCTGATCACACAACCCATCACTCTGAAGTAGCTGATCTAAACGAAAGGTGGAATAGTATATTGAAAACTCAGTCATGGGGCCAATTGGGAGACAATCCTCTGACAAACAGGTATTCTGGGCCAGGCACTGTGGCTCATGCCTGTAATCCTAGCACTTTGAGAGGCCAAGGCGGGAGGATCGTTTGAGGCCAGGAGTTTGAGACCACCCTAGGCAACACAGCAAGACCCCATTTCTACAAAAAATTTAAAAATTAGCCAGGTGTGGTGGCATGCACCTGTGGTCCCAGCTACTTGGGAGGCTGAGGCAGGAGGATCACTTGAGCCCAGGAGTTTGAGGTTGCAGTGAGCTATGATGACGCCACTGCACTCTAGCCCAGGTAACAGAGTGAGACCCTATCTCGAAAAAAAAAAAAAAAAAAAAAAAGGTGATGTTGTCTCACAGGATAAGGTATATGCTTGGAAGTCCAGGAATTGATGGGTGAAGGCAGAATTAACTTCATTGACAGAACTTTTACTTCCAATCCCAGCAACTTAGAGCCCTGTAATTTTGGAGATCTTAGTCCTCAAAGGGACAGCCTTCTCCCATGGGGCACAAATATGGCCCAAAACAATAGAAAAAGAAAATGCAAACCGGCCAATTGGGGCCTCAAAAAACAACAAACCAAGAGGCAAAAACAAAAAACAAACATATAAAAAAAACAGGGAGGTTACTCTATTGGCTGAAGTAATCAATCATAATTACCAAAGGAAAACTGAAGTACTGCTATAGGACTGCGGCAAAAAGGATGACGTGTAGCACTTCCAAGTACCTCTATGCTGCATAGAAAAGGTTATGGAAAATGACAACTGAAAACAGACAGAACAATGGAGGGCTGAGACCGTTGCGGAATGAAGATGTGGCTCCCTCCAGCCGCTACAGAACCCAGAGCAGCCGA